TCTGGCCCTGAGGTGAGGCAGATCATCATGGTGGACAATCATGGAGGAGCAAAGCTGCTTAGCTAATGGTAGTTGGGAGTCAGTGGGTGGAGGAGAGTGATAAAAAAGGGCCAGGCAGAATCAGTTCAAAGGCATGGTCCCAGTGACCAGCTTCCTTCAACCATACCCCACCTGCTTATAGTTTCCACCTCTCTGTATGGTCCATTCAATTTATTATTCCATCAAATTCATCCATTCATTCACTGATGAGGGTACAGCCTTCATGATCCATTCACTTCCCCAAAGTCCCACCTCTGGACACTGATACATTAGAGACTGAGTCTTCAACACATGAGCATTCGGGGGATATTCTAGGTCCAAACCTTAACAGAAGGATTGATAGATAGGTTTTGTGTAATTTTTTTTAGACAAAAGAAATGACACCATGTCTCCTCTTAGAAATGACTTGGTATAGTCATGATGGTGCAGGGGAGAAGAAAGAAAAACATTCATGATTGGTTGGGTGAGTGCTGTGGCCTGGGCATTTGTGTCTCTAAAATTCCTGTTGAAGGCTAATCCCCAAAGCATTTTTCTGGAGAGATGGGGTCTTTATGAAGTAACCAGAGGTGAGGTGGAGGCTTCAAGAATGGGATTGGAGCCCTTATCAAAGGGCTTGATAAATGAGTTGGTGACACAGGTCTGTAGTCCCCAAGACTGGGGAGATTGAGGCAGGCAGATTTCAAGTTCCAGGTCAGCCTGGGCAACTTAGCAAGACCTTGTCTCCAAATAAAACATAAAGACTGAGCTTGGGAGTGGCTCAATGGCAGAGCGTTTCCCTGGCCTGACAGAGGTGGTGGGTTTGATCCTCCCTACTCAAAAAGGGATGTGGGGTAGGATGAAGCCTGTTTGGCCCTTTTAACCCTTCTGCCACGTGAGGACACAGCAAGAAGACACTATCTATGAGGAACAGGTCCCCATCAGACATTAAATCTGCTGCCACCTTTATCTTGGATTTCCTAGTCTCCAGAACTAAAAGAAATACATCCATGTTCAGTCTAAGGAATTTGGTTATAGCAGCCCAAGCAACTAAGACAATACAAGGAACAGTATCTTGTGAATAAAAAGAGGCATGGGCTGTGCAGAGCAGGGCTCACTCACCTGTGGCAAGAGGTAAGGCTGTCACACAGGTGATGTGGTATAGTCTGTGAAGTCCCTTCCCTCCTCAATGAGGTGTTAGTAAGGCCCTCTGATTGTGAGGGTGGGATAGAAGGTGTTTGAAATTTGGGGAGAAAAGTGAAGGGATGAAGGAGAGCTGGGTGGTGAAGACTATGGAAATGAACTGAGGCCCACCTGTTCTGTTGTCACAAATATAAACTGATTTCAATTACAGTGCCTGTGTGTAATGTGATGGCAGAAAAAAATGAATCTAGCTTCAGTCTCTCATCCTCTGAATTTTCACTTTCCCTCACTCATACCACCCCTCATTATCCTATTGTTCTTAAAGACTTGCTCTTAGGGAAAAAAATACAGAAAATAGAGCATAGAAACAAATTGAAGACCAGGGTTCAACACGTGTGCCCTGTGATGGAGTGTTTGACTTGTGAGGGGAACACAGCGGCACCTGCTGGACACTGCATGAACTGCTAGTTCAAGGTTGCTCTATTGCATAATCAGACTGTTCCACATTCCTTCTATTACATAATTCTCTTCTCACACTGAATTTTCAGCCATTGATAAAATAAAAGAAAATACTGCACAAGAATTAGTGTGGAGTACACAATCTGATTCCAAAGTTTGAGGAGCTGTGTGGCATCCAACAGGCTCACATACCCCACACTAAGTAATTATAGTTAAGAATTAAATTGTTAAAAATTTAATTTTAACTTATTTTTTCAAATAATCTAAGTTGCTAAGATATAAATTCTCATTAAGTTGTTTGGATTTAGCTACTTAATTGTTATTTATTTTGGCCTGTAGCTACAATAGAAAAATATGACTCTGAATCATTATTAACTGAGAACATCTGGGAATCTCTGACTTAAAGATGAATTCTTGTTGCTTTCTCTATTTCTTCCAATTAATGAGTCAAAGCCCTTGAGGGGTGTAGTTGTGTGCAGTAGAAAATCTCAGGCCCAAATCTAAAACTTTCAATGTATAAATCATGACAAACATTCTCTCCACCTCACCCCAGCAATTTTCCTCATTACCTTAAAACTTGAGCATTAGTATCGCTTCTGTTTTAATGGAATATGGCTACACCACCACCATCTACTCTGAGTATTTAAACTCAAGAAGAAACATGTACCTCTGGAGTCTTGCGTCTCTAAAAGAAGACTTGATTTGGATATTCATCCTTCTGTCAACATCCATTCCAAATTTGTAATTCTTGACAGATGGTTTAGTCTAAATAATTGTGGCCTCAGACCTGCTTTCTTTTCTCCATCTAAGATACCAGCAACACCTATGTGTATGGTAATGAGATGGCAGCTGGCTATGTCGATGTGTGTGTGTGTGTGTGTCTGTGTGCAATGGGATCAGTCTTTCAGGAGAATGTCTGCTTCTCTTCCCTAATCCCTCTTGAGTTTTCCAAGTCAAGATTGTGCTAGTTAATGTTGGTTAGGTCCAATGCTCAGGACAAGGTCTGGGGCACATGGTAGATATTTGAAAAACTGTTGCTGAAATATGGAAATTAATAAACTAATGTTATCTGATTTTCAAAAGCATCTATACTATAAAAGCTAAACGAGTTCGAGTTTTAGGGCCTCACAGATTTGTAAAATATTTTCACTGCCCTTAGTTAAAAGCATTACCTCTTTTTACTTTGACTTATCCTCCACATCTGGTTTCATGTCTGGTGAGGCTGGAGAAGTTGCAAATTTTTGGGGATTGAGCTCAGAGCAAGCTGAGTTAGAATATATTTGGTTTATCAGTAGGCTATATAATAATGTGATTGACATTCACATATTCGGGTATAGAAACAGCTTCCCGGAGTCCTTCATTGTGAAGAACACATCCCAGGGAGGGACACAAAAGTGCAAGCTGGGCTATATCTTAGGGTGAACGCTTCCTAAAGGACCTGGAACTGGAGGAAGGTGGGTAGCTAAGAAGATCTAGGTTAGGAAAGTGGGCTTTGGAAGATGCAGCCATTCATCAGATGTGTGAAATTATAAGCTGCTAAATCTTTCTCTTTGACATCTAGTCAAAATGCATGTTCTCTTCTCACAGGAAAATATTTACAACGATATATGTTGACTACATATTTTTTTTAAATGAGAACTTCATGGTGTAGATTGACCAGAATTTTGTTTGTTAGATACAAACCTATGGCAGTACCACAAGTAGCAAGGACATCTGCGGGTGAAGTCACATAGCTGATGCTATCTAACTTACTGGTTTGCTTTACCGCATCTGCCATCTCCTATTCTAATGAAGTCTGATGGTTCTAGATACCAAGTTGCCAGAGTTAGTGAGCGCGCCTGAATTTTCTAAATCATCAACAATAAATAACTTCCATCAACCACTAGAAGACCAGATTACTTTTGATCTTTACATAAGTGACATTAGTCAAAAAATATAGGCAAATGACTCTCCAGCAGCTAACAATGATGTTATTTTTCTGGACTTACAATGTATTTGGTTCAATCAGCTTTATAAAAATTGAAATGTGTGATTTCTTCTCTTGCTCTGAATAAATACACCTCTTTGTATCTAATTTTATTTTCAAGTTTTAAACTTTTTTTCCCTTTTGACAAATGGACATTTGATATCTTAGTGATGGTTCTTCAGAACATAAGAACCAGTCACTCAATCCTTCTGTATCATTTGTGGTAAGAAATCAGGCTACTGAAATAGCCTCATTTGTTCTATTTTGTGACAGGCAATCTCCGAAAGAATGCATTTTAAATTATGCTGTAACACTTGTGTATTCTATTTGGATTTTAAGAAGCAATTACTATATTTTTAGATGTGATTATGGTTATATTAAAATAGTTTACAAGGCCTGGGGTTGTGGCTCAGCTGTAGAGTGCTCGCCTAGCACATGTGAGGCCCTGGGTTTGAACCTCAAAACCACATAAAAATAAAGATATTGTGTCAACCAAAAAATAAATATTAAAAAAATAGTTTACAGATATATGCAATAAAATATGGACTAAATAACATATCTAGGATTTGTTTCAAAATACTAGTGGAGGAGAATTGATAAGAAGTGAACAATGCAGGTTTGCTATAGGGTGATAGTCTGCAATACAGTAAATTGGTACATACAAGTCTATCACACTATTGTGTGTATGTGTGTTTATACACACACACATACACACACACACACAAACCTAGAGTTCTCTAGAATTGTTAGTATTAAGATATTCCATCTGGTTGTCAAACTCAGTGCTCAAAACTCAGTATTTGTTCTCTATTCTGTGGCACTGGACACTGGAATCCTCACTGCCATCTGAAACTCCCACTTCAGCCTCTCTGCTCCTTCTCTCCTTACTCTCTAAACAGTCTCCATCTCATACACAGGATACAATTCCTCCCACGGGCCCTTCAGTCAATGGTGTAGGGTGAAAGGGCTTCTAGGCTGTGGACCACTCCTCTTAGGATTGTCAGGCAGCAGCATCAACTAAAAGGAGAGTTTGGACATGGTAAAACTGAACCCAAAGTCATCTGCTCTTCCATCCTGGCTTGCCAGAACACATGCAAACTCTGCTGTGGAAATAAAGCCCAACAACTGAGAAGACACTTCCTGAGGACATCATTTGACATTCTATTACTTTATTTGTCATGGAATACCACCAAAGTGACCAGAGTTCCAATCCAGAGGAATCTAGATATGATGACATCAACTCTGATGAACTGTACTAAAGGACCCTGACAGTGACTCCAACAACTTTTTGGATGAGCTCCATATATTCCAAGGACTTGAAGTGTTTACCACCAGTGGAATTCTGAAGTTTCCCTTCCTTAAGGTTTTTTGAGGAATAGTCCAGCGAATGGTTTTGGGTATAATCTCCAGTGAATCTGCTGGTACACAGGCATAAAAGAAGGGCTGGTCTTGTTTTTTGTCAGAATGGAAGTTAATACCCATGTGATGAGTTTTTGACGATGATCTATGTTTGCTTTGGGAATAAGTTGATCCTTGTGAGTCATAATTACACACTTTTCTCTTTCTTGTGTGTATCTCTTTACCTGGTGTATGAATGTAGTTATAGTCCCGATGAATGTTGTTCTTTCTGAATAAATCAAATTTGGCTTTCTTTCTTTCTTTGCTTTCCAGGTACATGTGAAACTTGTCTTGGTCATTTTCAAGATGTAATTTCATATTTGACTCAGTTAAGGAAGCTACAGAGTACCCTGTCCTGCTCCCTGAAGTCCACGAAAGCTGCTCTTCTCTGAGTGAGATGGAAGGAGACAGAGACTGAATGTCCATAGTATTAAGTGAGCTGGGAGACCAATCAAGAGGCTGCATTTGGAATATATTTGATCTGTATTTCCTGCTTCTGTGCTTTTCACAGGAAGGTGGTTTCATAAGAAACGTATGTTTCCTACAGGCTCTAATATGATGGGAGCCCAAATCTTCCCTGCAAAATTGCTGCAAGTAAGTTGTGACTTCTTTCATCTTAGAAAAATTTTTCAAAGGAATGCCCTTCTGTAATTCCAAGAGAACATTTTGTGACTCCCGACTTAAGTAAGGGTTGGTTTCTAAAAACATACATTCCTGACTCTCACGTGTCTCTGGGGAGAAGCACTTGTTCAGGTTAGCTGAACTCTCAGTATTTATCTGAATATCAGTATAATCTTCAGAAGTCTGAGTGGAACGCGAGTTAACTAAACCAGTATCATTCTCCTGCATCCTTAAATTAAAAGGCTTATATGTATTTGTTTCTTGAAACCACATACTGTATTGTTTATCTTTTTCTGGAGTCATGTCATATTTGAGCTCAGAAATAGTCCTAGAATCTTTCTGCTCCCTACTGGGTAGACTGGCGTCAGAGGTACACATATGGGATGGCTCCAAGAACTTTCTGAAGTGTAATGAGTTTTTGTGGGGGTTTTGCTTTTTAAAAGAAATATGCTGTTCTAACAGTTCTGTGTCAAAGGAAAGAGAATGGCTTTCTCTACCATCATCTACTTTTTTACATATTGAAATCGGGTTTAGTTTAAGAATGTGTTTAGGAAGTGCATTTGGCTTGGGGAACATACTCTCATCAGAAAGCCCCAGCAGAAAGCGGAGGTATTTGTATTGTAAATCAAGATCAATTTGATGAAGAGATTTTTCTTCAAAAAGTAAGAAAATTCTGTTTTTACGCTTTGGGGCTTTGACAGAATGAATACAGTTAGATAAAGGTTTTGTTCTATCCTGGGCAGTGGCCACTGCACAAGATTCTCTTACAACTCTGGGAAGGGCTTTCATTTGTATTTCCAATATTTTCATAGAAAAGTGCATGACAAGTTTGTCTTTACCTTTGACTGAGTACTTCTGGAGAATATGAGGCAGTGGCATCTCACTAGTCAAAATCACTGAAGACATCTCACTTTCTAGGTTATTAATACTGTTTAACTTTGAAATGAGCTCACTGCTGCTGCTTGAAACATTAACCAGCAGTGTCTTCATACAGCTGAGAGGAGGTGAATCTTCTTGGTAATCATGTTTTAAGTTAAGTTCTACACTATCCACCTCTTCTGGAGACATAAGACTCATTTGTTTATGCCGTGGATAGAGCCTCCAACTGTTATTTTCAGGAATAGCCTCTCTGGGACAAAAGTCAAACGTTTGTAAGGATTTTTTTGCCACCTCTGGCATCAGACTCAGTTTTATTTCAAGTGCTTTTGACCCCAAATGATTGGTGAGTTTATTTTTATCTTCAGGATTAAAATGTCTTAAAAGGGGTTTGTGCTGCAGTTTGGAACTCACTATTGTTGATGTTGTATCTGGACTCTCTGGAAAAGGGGGTGACATTGAGTCATCAGACTTCCCGGCTTGCAATTTGTCCAGTTTCTCAGAAGAAACTTTGTCTTGGATCATACTTTTTACCTGGAAGTCAAGGGCAGCTTTAATTGTTTCATAAATGAAAAATAAACTTTCTGCACTTGTATCACTTGAAGGTGTTTTGGTCTCGTCACTTGTAACTTGCAGTGATGTGGGCACAGTTCCTGGAACAGCTACTTGCTGCTGGACCTCTTGGGAGGTGGTGTCCCATGCTGGTTCACCCTGATTTCTGTGCTTAGGAAAGGAACATTCCCTGGCATCAAGAGGTGTCTCATACTGTGGTTCTTCCTCCTCTGGAGATGGATCATTCACACTTATAGTCCTTCTCATGTGAGTTTCCACGATCTCCTTTGGACCTCTAAACATGGATGGGTGCTCTGTGGGTGTCAGAATGCATTCTGGTATCTTTTCTTCTTGCTCAATTATATGTGAATCAGGTTTTTTAATGCTTCTTGGGGCATCATGACTTGGAATAATCCTTTTCTCAGTTTGTGGAGTTTTCTGACCTGTTTTTTTACTGACTTCTCTTTTCCTACTTGTTTTACTCTTGAGGCTTGCTTCTGACTTACCACGAGAACGCTTCTGCATTTGTTGTTTGTGCACTGCAAAGGGTTCAGACTTCTGGGGAACTGTGTCTTTAAAATTTCGTTCCCTTTTTACAACTGTTGAGGTGTCTCTCCTGACAATTTCACCAGCATTTGGTGATTGCCCCCGGAATTTAGAAAGACAAACCCTCTTTTCCCGTTGTCGGTTTGTCTTAGATTTTGCAGTTTCTTCACTTTGTGGCGGACTCTTCCTGGAAACACGAAGACGTCTGATAAATATTCCTGGGGCATCTTTATCCCAAGAAACTTCTCTATTTGGTTTGTTAAACTCATATTGCAATTTCATCCTATTGCTTGGAGAACTACGTCTTATGGAACCAAGAATCTGTAAAATTGGGTGATTTGGGACTTTCATAGTTAAGTGTCTGTGGTTCAGTTTTCTTTCCAGATCTGCAATTGTCAACTTGCCTTTCTGGCCTTTGAAGGAAAGAGGAATATAGGCAAAAAGTGAATCCAGAGTGTTTCTTTGAAGTGGTTTTTGTACTTGAATGTTTTCTTTTACCTTAGACAACCCTAGTTCCTCTTTGTGCTTTTGCTTGATGGGGCAGATGTTTTCCTTAGGTGTGATTACTGGAGTCTGGCTCTGAGACTCCTCTGTTCTTGGAGATAAATCATGAAGGCTTGCAGGACAGTTTGAGGCTGATCCTGTGTCGTCCTTCTCCAGACTGACAGAATTATTCTTGTGCATTTCCATTTTGTTCTCTTTCAGCTGTATAGCTCTGTGTGTGTGTACTTTCAATTTCCCTTCTTCCCGATTCACAGTAATGTCACTGGCCATCTCTAACTTCTGTTCCAAATGCACAGTGGTAGCTGTGTTAACTTCACCTTCTTCCACCAGAAGTTCAGATTGAAATTGAAAAGTACAGAGTGGGTTAAAGGACTTTATAATACATTCCTCTTGTTCTGAAACCAGTAATGCCTGACTTTCTTTTCCTGTTATGTCATCACACTCTGTAATATCCATGTGTATTCCTGGTAATATTTGTAGGCTGGGGCCTGCTGTAGTTTTTTTGTCTATTTCCAACGGTGTCTTGTGCTTTCCATCCTGAAGTGGAGACTGAAGAGAAAACACAGAATTTGGCCTGGTCTCCTGAGTACTCTCAGACAATGGCATTGCTTGCTTTTCCATGATAATGCCTTGTTCTTTATTTTGAGATGTATCTGACTTGGTGCGATTTATTTTTTCAAGTGATTGCTTTGTCTGTGGTGCTAACACTTTGGGAGAAAACATTTTGCTTATTTTGTTATTACTTTGTACATCTTTCTCTAGCATATCAAATTCACATGAATCTACACATTCTAGAGATACTTCTGATGAAATTTCCTGTTGGTGGGCATCTCTCTCTGGAAAAGAAATCCCTTTTGAACCTATGTGGGTGCCAAATTTGATATATATTTCCTTGGATGTTTCCCTTGGCAGGGAAGCTGAAACCCTAGGACTTACTTTCTGATTTATGTTACATGTTATTTCAGTTTTCTTCTTCAGATTTCCAATTTTAATTGCATCCATTGTGTGGTAGGAATAAAACATACCATAAGGTTCTCTGCATCTTTCTGGTTGAGCCTTTTGTCCTGTAAAGTGCAATTCCACTCTTCTCTCATTTTGTGTTGTACCAAATCTTGTGAAATTAACATTCACATCTTTTGAAATTAAATCTCTTTCTGACTTAACTTGTGGTTTGTCATTCCTTTGCTGGGCTCCAATCATGAAGTCTGAGGCCCCCTGTTGCTCCGCCTTTTTCTGGGGCACGCCCTGTTTCCTTTGCTTCATGGTGTTTTTACTATCATCTTCAACTGATTCTCTGATTGCTCTTTTCTGGGCATCTAATAAATCCTGGAGATTCTGTTGTGAATGAGAGGGTCCTGACATTCTTGCTGAGACTTCCTCTACTTTGTTCCCTGAATCCGGAGAAAGGAGAGGTGCTGATGGTATGGAAAGAAAAGTCCTTGTCAAAACCACACGTGATTCATCTTTTCCTTCATGCACTTTTTTCTCCAGCACCTTCATATTCAGTACAAACTCCTTCATATTAAGGATATGTGAAATGGGTGAAATCCTTGCCTCTTTGCAATGCACCCCGATCCTCATATCTACTGTTTTCAGCTCATACCTTTTTTCTTTCCATGACATCTGTGGGTCTCTTTGCCTTACATCACCACCTATTGCCTTTGTATGTGTTATTTTCTCTGCATCTGATAGTGCTGAACACATTAGTGGCAACAGAAATGTTTTATTTCCAAGTTCTTCTTCATTTACTTGTGTATCTTTATCCAGTTTAGGTTTGGGTGGAGAAGGTTTGAAAGCATAAATTTTTCTCGGGACTATACCTTGTGGTTCAAGTGGACCTTCATGTTCTTTTCCTTTGTGTCCTCTGACAATCATATGCAGTTCTGATCTATGGAGTTTATGGGAAGAAGGTGATTTCTTTGACTTCAAAGATATATCTATGCTTCCCTTACCTACTATTTTCCCTCTATCTATCGTTTCTTTCTGAAGCATATGTTGTTTTTCACCTTTAACATCTTTAATGGTATCATTACCAACTGACCCCATAGGTACCGTTTTCCCTGCACTTGATATTTTTGGCAAAGCAGACCTTGGAAGTCTTAGCAGTTCATCATCTATTTCTACTTTTGTATCCAACTTGCGCTGAGGCAGAGTTGGCAATGAAGCAGAAGGTTCCTCTGGACGTTCCTGCACCTTCCTTTCTTGACATTTGGGGAACATGAACTTTATTATTTGTACTCCATCCTCTTCCTCATTCTGTTGGACATGCTGTTTTCCTTTTGGTAGATAAATTAAAATATCACCAGTAATTGGCTTTATACATATGCCTCCTTCAGAATTCAATGATTCCTGGAAGTTTACTATGGAAAAAAAGGATCTTGCCCACACTGGTGTGCTTTCTTCCTTGATCCCAGTATTCACATCAGGCAGAAGTGGAGATTCAGCAGAAGTCTCACTGGGCACTATATCTGCCTCACTTTTAACGTCTAGAACCT